CCGACGTATGATTTTGTAAGTTCAGAACACATTTTCTAATTTTCAAGAGTGATGAATTAATGTAAATTACCTGCCAAACAAATAGTGATACTGTAGTTTGAAATCAATTCCGGTGGTTTTTCCCTGTCAAATAACAAAGGTCAGATGTAACAGGGACATGAAATTGTCACACTTTTGGACCCCAAATTTCTTGAATTAACCATCTAGCATTTTTAGTTGACTTGAGTCCTCGTGCACTTATACATTAGGCCTTTCTACGAGGAAAAAATCCAGTACATGCATTGTTTGAAGTCATAAGCCCTCTCATAACTACATGTATCTCTCTTATATCCATTTAATTTAATATACATGTAAATAAATATGTAAATATTCATTCCAATAAGTATTTCATAATTTTGCTGCCTAATGCATTAACTAGCCTCAACCATGCCTGTGATATGTACATGTACATGTAAATAAAGCTGCTCTCCAGGGATTATGGAAAGTAATTGTGTCTGGGAATCCTCCAAGGGACAGGCTGCTAGAAAAGGCTGGTCTGATATTCAAAGGTATCCTCCGTAATTAAAAGTTGCCCTTGGAGATACATGTACCATGCAGCAGGCTTGCTTTCAGATGCAGGCTTTTTAGACCCTGTCCTCAGATAGACTTACCAGTATCTTTCCGTCATCAAAGGCAGAAATGTGATGACAAAAATGTCACTTACTGCTATGAGACTGAGACGTCCTCTTTATCAAAGCTTCCCTTGAGTATGTTCTTCTCAAATAACTTCACGGTCTTACCCCTCTATCTCTGACCTTCCTCCCCCAAACTCTACTGATCCCTTGTTCATCCTACCGTCCAAATGAAAAGATTTCAAATTTAAAGAACTGTACTGAAAGGGTACAGTTGAATAAAACTGTAAGTTCAACACAAGTGCTTAAATTCTTTGGATCAAGTTTTTTCCTTGAAGAATGAACACATGCATCTCTTTCCTATGTAGTTATTGAATATGACTGCATGTACTTGTGTAATTGTGCATATACTGTGCGTACACATGTACAGGTGGATACATATGCATAAAGTTTGTGATTGTGGAATACACTATGTGCAAGCATGGGTGCGAGCTTTGATCTGTCAGCATTGGCCCAGAGGCAGCTATTTTTCTCCAAGTCCAGGGAATCAATAGCTCTAAATGGAATTACCCAACCGTTCAATTCTTCCCCCATTTGGAGGGCAGTCAGACAGAGGGCATGGTAAAATAGAGCAAGGTTGGATTAGGACACTTCAAATCTTTGAGAGGGATCATCTCCCTGGCTTGGCCATTGAAATGTGAACCTTTTTAAGGGAAAGGCTGTGTTGATTGTGCTAACAGTCCAGGGTTTGACAGTTATATTCAAAACAGCCAGGTGCATGAAGCCCAGAATGTAGTGTCAATAAGGTATGCTCTATAGGGATGTTGGTCCAATCTTGAGATTGAAAACCACTCTGTTTCAGTCTGCCTGGCACCACAGATGAAATACAAGTGTCAAGTAGTATTAAATGTATAATAAGTGCTATCAGGAGTATCAGATGTGCCAATGAGAACACTTTCTTAATTGCCTTTTAACACAGAAATGTTAATGGTGCAGAGTGACTTTATAGTGTGCTTCTCATTGTTACTGTCTGGACTGTTGTTCACAACCTGGGACGAGGTTACAGGATGGTATGCAAAAAGCATGAAAAAGGTCCTCAACATTTGTTTTCGTAAAATGACCTTTCTGAATCCACTGTGTCCATTATGCTGTACAGGTTACATGTACCGCTAGATCCATTTTTATGTACACGTCTGGGTTTATTGTACCGTATCCACTGACAGGTGCCTTATTACTGGTAGACTGTGTGCATTTACAGGTGGTAATATAACCATGGTGATATCTGGTACCACAGCAAAATCCTGTTGATTTGTCTCTGTTGGTCACCAGCTCCCAAAAAGCTGCAGCACATTTAATAGACTTTGGCGTACATGAACATATACATGTGTGTTACACCCACCTTGGTTACATTTTCACACCAAGTGAAGCTTGACCAAAAGTACATGTAGTGGTACATATATGTAAATACATGTTGTTTGGCACCAGACACTTCCCACTGAGCCCATATGGCTGGAAATGCACCAAGCACAGGTGATATGACCTTCAGAATACTATTAACAGAAATTTCCCTGTCCCACTGACTGTTTGCAGTGAGATTCTGGTCTAAAGAAAACACTAAACAGCTGAAGGACCACTTGCCCCATTTTGCATATCGGTACGAGTAGATCTGTCCATGCTGGATAAGCCAGAGTGAAAAGAATAATGCTTTGTCTCTTCTCTCGCAATCACTTGTGTAGTTTAATCAGGAAAGGCCTGTGGTTCACTGGAATTTGGTGCTTCAACCCAGCTTGAAATTAACCTACACAAAGTTGAAACCACCAACCAAGAAGAGTAACCCTACCCCCTAATGGCCCAAAATATCCATGGAAGATGTAAAGCCCTATTATATGTAACATGCCACAACTGATGTTTCTCTGGGCAAGATCTTGGTTTGATTCACCTCATGAGTGGTAGTCATGTGCCTAATCCAGTGCCAAAGTTTAGGTACCAGTGGTTTACACTTTTAGGAAGACCTTGGTACCTCGGGTTAATGCACTTTTTCTGCAGTTTTCAGACAGTCTAGCCACAGTGGTGGTCTAACTCTTTGTACCAGTAAGACAGACCTCCTAATCCAGACAAGGATGACCCCTGTACATGTCAACACCCTCTCAGTCAGCCAGCTCAACCACAGCTTTAGGGTGAACTTTGGTTTGTTTTACCTGAATCATTATGTGCATGACCAGAATGAGGTCACTGCAGACAGCCAGGTGATCACATAGTACAGCTCCAGCCTCTTGATTGCCTAGCTGCCGTCTGACTTGGTCCATGCAGGGTGATAGTGTTGAAAAGAAGGTCAGGTGGATAGGCAAATGAACAGACAGGCTGTGCATTATAGGCATAGCGCAGGCAGCTACCTGACATGTGTTTGCAGGGTTGGAGTACAATGTACAAGGTGTGGATAAACATGTTTTTGAAAATTGTGGGTTACAAGTGTTCAGTATTATGTACTCTATACATATTTAGCATTGCTTCAGTTGCATGCACCAATTTCTTGCAAAAGAATGCAGGTTATGATTAATTTTTATTTTCCCTCCAGCCACCATTTTGTTTGGCTGTTTCTGTAAGCAATTAAATGTTTGTATTGTCAGCAGCAATGATTTGTATGAAGTCATTTGTATAGTGCAAAAATGTTGTAGACCTTTGTGTAACAAAGGAACATATCTATTAGGATGTAAAGGTTTTACTGCAACCTACAATGTAGCTGCAACAGAATATTTGATAAGTGGATTTTAAACTTGGACATGTTTTTAGCAAATCTTTTTATGTCCTGAATGTTATGTAATAATTCGATATTGCCATTGTTTCTTGTCTTCTGTGTTCCTAAGTTGACTGAAGAACATACTCTACAAGTAGGTTTATTCCAAAGCTTGCCAGGCCTACAACATGTCTACTCCTCCCTATCTTCTCATGTACATGCAGATCAAAAGCCGAGACTGTGATTAGTCTCACAGTCACATGTGAAAAATGCATCCGGTCCAATTCTGCAGGTGGTTTACATACTGTCTCTCATCTCGATTGCTCCCCTTCCCCTTCCCCCCCCCACATCTGTCATAAGGTCTGTGTTGATGTTTATGCTTTGCTGAACCAGTAGCATTTAAGATTGGACCAGCATGGCTGAGCGTGTCTGTCATGCCACCATGATTGTACATGGAAACGGTTTATTCCTGATCACTTCAAGATTGGCATGATGGTTTCAAGTTAAAGTAGTGTGTGGTCTGTGGTTGGACTTGTATAAATTTGAGTCTTCCTTGATCAAGCCGTCTAAAGCCATGAGTCATATAGTTGAGTAAGTCAAGGGATTTGTCATTAATGAGACCCCACCCACCTACCCATATCCCCAGTTGGTATTACAGTAGTCATCATTAGAATCCTACCTGTATAACCCGAGAACATTATTTCATTCCATGCAAATCCATGTACATGTAATATAGCATACCAATACATATACATGTACATGTACATATACCTACATACATGTACGTGTACAGTACTTTAGCTACTCAAGCTCATTACTTTGGTACATTTTTAGATGGCCAGTCTTATCTGGGACATTTATAAACAGAAGCCAGACTGTCACTGTTTATGCACAGGGCATAAATCTTTGAGGGTTCTCAAAGTGGTTGCAATCCTTGTGCTTGTTCAGGACAGCACAAGAGGGACCTATCAATCATGTTCATGTAGGCATGTGTGATATTCATAGCATTCTGGAGACATGGTCAGGACTGGATAATGCTCGCTGATGTCTCAGGAAACAAGTTGTGTGGAGTATATGTAATGGTTCGCGGGAAGAGAATTGCGCATTGCCCAATCCACCATTGTGACTTGAATTTGACCTCCAGAAGAATTATGTTTTTGTTGGACTTTCATTTTTAAAGCAGTTTAATGAGTGAAATGAAAAATTAAATGTCAAAGAAGGGAAAAGAAGTCGAAAAACTCTCAGTACACCTTCCAAGTATACCTTGAAATCATCACCAGGTGGTTGCGAACACTGCTACATGTAAATCCTTTCTGTACATGTACGGTGGGTCTGCCTTGAGCTGAGCACTCTGATTCGTAGAAATTGACTCACGATTAGATTTTCAAAAATGTCTCTTGCCCCGTTATTCTTGGTGTCTCACTACAACACTTCCCCTGAACCTGTCCCTCATTCCTTTAAAACCAAATTTTTACATGTACATGTACATGTGTACATGCAAAAAGCAACAGGAACTTATGCATCATCCTGCACTGTCTGTGCCTTTGTCTCAACCACTCAACCACGCCAAACAGACCTACTTTTGGTCTGCAAATGTTTCATAAAAACCACATTAAAGATAATTATTTTCCAACCTTCTTCCTCCATGTTTCCAGGACATTTTGGACCAGCTGCTGGTGATGAAGCTACCCAACGTTCTTCTCATCAGTAAGGACCCCATGAGCGAGCTGGCCATCGCCGAGATGCAGAAACTCCTGTTGCTTTTGCTGGGCTGCGCCGTCCAGTGCAGCCAGAAGGAGATCTTCATTGAGCGCATTAAGCAGTTGGAGATTGATGTCCAGCATGCAATTGTCGTACACATCCAGGAGGTGCATATCCTGATTTCTGACAGACTCCTGCAAAATATTTCGGACAGAACTAAGAAGTCTAGGATAGATCCTCAGACATTATTTCCTGTATTCTGCTCCACAGTCTAGTCCTTTTTATCCCATTTGATCAGAGAGCATCTGGCAGCTACAGACCATAGACTTAATGGGCTTTTGTACTCTCTTGGTTTAGGATGATTTGAACCTTTTTAAACCATTTTTCAAATATACGCTGAACACTGGGCATTCAGTTCACTTGAACAAGAAATGAGTGGAAAAATTTTGTTTTGATGAAATAACAAATTATGAAAAGTGTTCAGAGAGTGCATGCTTTTAAAATATTCCAACAAAAAGTCACCTTCAATCTATGCGGTTGACAAAGATGCATGAGGAATAGCTGAAAGTAAAGTAATACCCAGGATCTGATCAATTCCAACCACGATGGAACCATAACAGTTGATAGGAGCAGTATGCTTCATGGCTCCTAAACATTTGCTTAAGAGAATTCTTGTATCTAGATACTGTCTAAGTGGCATGATGTGTACATTAGAACGCAGCTAATGATTGAAATGTGATATCAAATTTCATGCATCCACAGATCACAGACAATGCAGAGAATGTAGTGAGTCTGCAGCTTGGAGAACTGATAGACCAAGACCAACAGGAGAACTTGTACAAGAACATGTTCAACCATGTCAAGAGACTGGTCATGGAGAGAGATGATTATGCTGAGGTATTCCTCACCTTTTGTGTTGTATTCCACATCTTTCTTTCATCATATATTTCCTCTGCCCTTGCTTGGAGTCCCAACCTTAGTGTGCACAATCCAGTTTCTCGCTGTTGGGCAGAAGAATTTTGAGCATGAAGCTTTAAGGTTATGCGCTAAACCACAGCAAGATTTTGTCTCTCAGGATATAGTTTTGTTCCCCAGTATTTATGCATCCCTCGTGTGATATCCCTTTATATCTCAAAAAGGGAAGTAAAGGGATAAATTGTATACCCAGCAGCGGCCCTCCTGGTATGGGACTGTTAGTGTTCCAGTAAGTTCTTAAAGCAGTTGGTCACCAAGAGGTCATGATTCCTCTCCAAGTTCAGGAACATGAACCAAAGCCAGGCCTTTTCTCTCCAAGAATCTGCCAACCATGCCCAACCCCAGCCTTCCTTCCTTCCTGCCTGTCCTCGACTGGCAAAGCCTGCCAGGAAATACTGTCAGTCCTCCACAAAATGTACCCTGAAAGAGCCTTCAGAAAGAAGAGCGAAAGTTACTTTTGAAGCACGTTGCTGTACGTACATGTAGATTTGTGTTCCCTTGTATTTTTCCAGGAACTGAAATCTGCCACTTCCCGGGCCGAGTTTCCTCTGGTTTTTTTTTCTGGAAAACTGCCTTTGTGAAACACGGATGATCATGCGTAGGTGGGCAGTTCTTTGGGAATTCATGTAGCGACAATTTGAATGGACTTGAAGTTCATTATTTTCAGTACATCATATTCAGATTTCGAATCCTATCTTCACAGTTTAAAAATTAAAAAAACCTCAATTCACCTTCACATTTGGGGAAAATACATTCAACGTTCCAGTGTAAAATTGCTAGCACAAGCATTTACTCAAGAGCCCCCTCCGTAAGATATTAAGAAATGGTGCATCTATGGCCTTGACATATTTGCAGTGGCTGATCCAGCATTTACAACTTAGGGAGGGAACCAAAAAAAAAGGGTAACCAAATAAATTTGTACTTATTTAAAAAAAACTGCCTGTCAGCAAGAAAGAAAAACAGGGCAAAAGGACAGGTATGGGCCCCACCTTGATCCGCTACTGATTTTTGGTTGTACATCAAAAGAGTCATCCATGTGCATACATGTAGGTATGAGTAGAGATGCAGAAAAGCCGTGGTACAACTTTTTGACTAAACTTGTAGCATCTAATCTAATTTTAAGGAAAAATTGGTGATTATTTTGCCAATTGAGACAAACCTTATCACTTGTTCGTCACCAAAATGTCATTTTTTAATTTCCAACTTTCAAGAACAGTTCCCATTGACGATCGCTGTCGCAGTGGTGAAGACACGTGCGCAAAGCTCAGTGCACTAAACGAAGCTGCCCTGGTTCCCGCCATGCCGCGCACAAGCAACGGATGGAAATGTAGCAACAGAACCAGTCGATACATGTACTGTACATTCCGCTCAATTACACTACATCAGCGGTACACGCATATCGCATGCAACCCTAAAGCTGCAGGTCGAAAAAAACATTGATGTTGCAAGAGGATTTATGCAAGTTGATTCATAGGACTTGGTCTCTTATTTGTGCATGTATTTTCTGTGTTCATGAGTTTAACTTGAGGTTGTTTTGCTCATACTTAAAGCGAGCGTGTTTCAACAAATTCCTGCCGTGCAACAACGTTTCTCGCCCGCTGGTCTGGATGCATCACGCACGCTTACTACTCAATACTCGGACATTGTTGGCTAGTTTGCCATCATGGGGAATATTGCCTGAGTTGCACTGTGTGAATTGTCCATAATTCTGGTGAATTGTCAACTGTTGAAATTTTTACATAGATTAACACAGGTTTTCATCACTTTTGAGATAATTTTGGGAGCTGTCGTTCCCATTCATGCCATTCAATCCACACAAAAAATTGCCCCCCCACCAAAACATTTTCTGACCTAACGCCCGATTGTATAATCGGAAGCATACAATTTTTTTGGCCAAATAAAAGACTGCTTGCATGCAGTAGGCCTAAGTTAAATAACCATAACAATCGCAGATTTCGAGAAACCTTGGGCAAGTGTTGATCCAATTGAGGCAAGCAAATTTAGTGCATGGCCTGCCCGATCGGGCAAGCTAAAAAAATTTGTCACGGCCCGAGTCTGGTTGAGTGTAGGCCGGTGAACAGGTACAGTATGTGTGGGCTCCACAATGTACAAGTTACATGTACATTTTACTTCTTAGGCCTTGAACATGAATAAGTACACTAAGTCTCCGTATAATTTTATGCTTTCATTATATACATATAAAATGGTGCAACCTCAAACCTGACAAACGGGATGCCTTGATGAGGGTCGCTGCTGTAGGTCTTCCAAGAAGTGTGTTTGATTTCCATGGGGCATTCAAACTGTGGTCTGGTGAAAAACCTTGTATTCTTGGTATCTGAATCATTCATATGTGTACATGTATGTATTCTTCACATGTACATGTACTTACCTTGGAAATAACTTACATGCACATGTACAGCAAAACGTGTGAAATATGATACAGCAAAACGTGTGAAATATGATACGTATGGAAATAAATTCCAACAAGCATTTCAAAGATGAGACATACAGGATGTAGTCATTATTAAATGTTAGTCTGTTTATAATAATTGATCCTTTTGAAAAGCTTTTCACACAAACTTAAAAGAATCAGAGCGAATAACTTGCTATTTTTTTATCTTTATTGTCAAACAAATTGGCTAAAAAAATACACAATGTTGGCCCGTAAATTTGTAGGATGGCTATAAAATCAAACATTTGGCTTCAAGGTGAAACTAGTGTCTTCCCACACCCTTCAAAACAATCTCTTTCCCTCAGGGAGCAGTATATAATGCTGTACAAACACTTGAACCAGATTGGTTTCCTCTCACAAACAGTAGACATTCATGCCAACATTCTCTGATTGCCAAACCAGATACACTGTCTATAAACATGCACAGACATACAACAGATCAGGTAGCCCCACCAGGTTACTCTGGGTCCTGTTGAGGTCACGCTGGGGTCATGTCTGGTTACTATCAGGTGTACACAGTACCAATCTGACTCCCCCTCCCCATAAGGTGGTTGTTTAGCATGGCATTCCTACGGGATACCTCCTCATTCACATAAAAGGGGGCCCGGACACATTCACACAGTGCAGGAAGTAATCAAACGATGTTTCTGAGCATTTGGGGTTTGTGGTGTCAGGTTTCTTGCATTTGGTAGTGTCGGTGGGGGGGGATTTGTGACACAGCCACTTCCTCTTGGGGTCCAAATGGAGAAGAACAACACAAAAGTAGAAAGTACTCTGTTTTTAAATATATTTAACACATTACCGGTATGTAGTGAATTCTTCGTCTGAGAAAACCAGCCATTTTGGTTTTTAAAAAAAGAAAAGAAGCAGTCAATTTGACCCGGCAGCTGTACTGCACCAAAAGGACGCTTTCTTTAAAAAAAAAGAAGAGCACAATATTTTGAGGAAAAGGAGGATAGTCATGTTGCAAAAGTGTCCTGTGTGAAGTAGTAGCCTCTTGGGTCAGCGTAAGTTCTACATTGTACCATCCATTTGGTCAATGCCTCCATAAAGGCTCATTATTGCCAGAAACTTGCCACATACTCATCCTAATGCGTGTAGGTGGACAATATTTTGCCTTTGTGATGGGGGGGGGCTTAGCATTTAGTATTCCTGCCTACGTAAAATGTATCTCATGCTCTGATTTCAAACTGGTTTGAGAACAGGGAGCCTGAATAACACAAGACACTGCTTAAGTGGAAGTTAAACTTTGACAGGTTCCTGTACCCAAAAGAAATTGCCTGTAGTACTCTGTGCCTTCAACTTGCAATCATTTCTTGAAATAAAAAAGATAAAGTGTAAACAAGTGTAATTATGAATGTTTAGTCTGAACTGCAACATTCTGTGATACTTAGATGTCTCCAGAGCTGTGAATTGTAATCTTTAGTCTTCTTTCCTCCTGCCAAATAATACATGTAGGTATTTGGATTAAATGCAGGCCATCATATGACCCCTCATACAGTTTCAACCAAAATGCAGAGACAGTGGACTGATGCAGTTGTGATTGATGGAGAGTAAATTTATGATGACATGTTATATGATAGAATTCAAGTACTGAAGTAGTTCCTCCATAAAGTTTATTCCTGCATGTTTCAACTGTCATTCACCCCATCATGGAACTCAGCCAGGAGAAAGAACTGTTCCAGGCCACCATGGAGGGACGGCGGATCGTCTCCTCGCCGACCAGCCCTGGGCCTGACCGGCGACACATCACGGTGGAGCTGGCCGAGACCAAGGCCAAGTTGCGACGGACCCGACAGGAGCTGGAGGAGAAGAATGAGCTGGTGTTGGAGTACAAGGAAGAGATGGACAAGTACAACTTGACAATGCAGAAGCTTAGACAAGAGGTCAGTGCGATGAGCTTAAGAAGATACCTGAAACCGACCAGTAGATGGTCACCTTATTATTATTGATTATTGTGAATTATTTCTGGTAATGACACCAAGGATTCTTCAAAAGTCAAATCTGCGTGAAGCTGCAACCCCTAACATGAGTTCCAGCTTCCAGTTGCCACTATGGGCACGTAGCCAGAACCTTGCCCACTCTTTGAAACTTGCCAGCTGGAACTCTGCCAACTTTCTTTTGAAATCCACCTCACTGCACGAACCCATTGGCTGATTTTTGTGCTTTAAAACTTCAAAGAGCATCAACCCCCATGTAAACGTATACTGGCTGAGCTCTACCGAGCATGGGGGATTTTGAAGGATTTGCGAGAAGCACATGTACATGGGCATGTAGCTTTACGGGCTGGCAGCAGTTGTGTGTTGGTAGACAGGCTTTAAGCATGTTTCTCAGAATATCCATGACAGTGATTGCACATCCCACGATGTTGTTGCATTGAGCCAAGACCAGTAGTGATGTGTTTAAGGTACCGGCAACTGTAGACTTTGGACTAGTTTCCAAATAGGAAAGAAGATAAAAATCCATTCGCAGAGAGCATTATATTTTGGGTTGGAAAGAAGGTCGAATTTGCAAGGCGGTTACGGCCATGGGTCAGTACAAGTAGGTGATATGGCCAAAGAATCCTCTTGACAGGAAGTGACACTTTTCCTTGCTGCTTGTACAATCAACGCAAATAGACAATTGGTGACAGAAGTGTTGTGCACTAATTATGTATTATTGAGTACAACATGATCCCAGTGGGAACAGTTGGTATTAGTTGGGCTGGTCAATGAGTGAATGATTCATCACCAGAGACACCCCCCAAAAAAGTACCTACTGCCCGGGGCAAGCACTGCGCAGTCAGTGTGTTGGTGTAACAGAGGAGTATAGTCAACAGGATATTGGCATTTCCCCAGTCCTAGATCCCCATGCAGTGTCATGGAACCAGGGACCTGTAACTGTTGGAAGGGGAGAGGGGTGGGAGGGAGGGGATTTCAGTAAGCAGATCTTATGGACCCTGGGATGGGGAGTTCAACACGGGCAATCCCACAATGACAAATATATGTAATTTGAGTGCATGCGGTGGTCGGCGGGTGATGAAATGCCGACTTTGCTGGGCAGAGTACACCTGTTGCATGAGCAAACAATACCTAGATTTACATGTAGGTTTGTCATTCAAAGATGGATACTGCTTAGTTCAAATTTAGTGTGTACACTTCATGCATGTGTTGTATCTGAACCAAATTGATGTCTCATTTGGTCAAATATGCATCAGTACTTAAACTTCTGGAAGCCACTGTACTGTTCATTAGAAAAGTTGCATTGACTAAGCAGAACAGGCATACATGTAAAAATGATGTATTTATGTATGTCCTTCATGGCCTGGATTTCTGTTGTACCGTCACAATTCAGAATTAACGTGCTACATGGAACTGCTTCCTGCTTACTTTGTCTTCACAAAATGGATAGAGGTTCCATAAGCAAGACATCATGGGCTTAGCATAAAATTTGACTGTTAACAGGCTAAAGCAGCTTTTGCAGTTATTTACATGACGCATACTCCATACATCAGCTGCTACATTTCATCCTGTGTTTTAACCAGACCTGGACCAGGCTCATGGTGGGTTAAAATGGCTCAGGTCACACTGTAGAATCTGGACACGGGTCTTGTATACATTTTGGATTCTCTGACTGAAGATTTTCACCCGCTAGTTCTGACAAAGGATGGTTTCATTTCAGGCAGAAAGTGCTTTACCTCGGTGTGTTCTGGATTGAAATAATGCAATGGTAAAAAAAAAATCCTGGGCATTTACTGGGATTCCACCCCCAAGTCTTTGGTTGTGCATCAAGGGTTTCTTTCACCTTGTTACAAACTCAGTAACTTTGAGCTCATCAATCCAGGGGAGCTAGGGTTTGCCTTAATAGCATGTGTAGTTTAGAGATGACTGGATGCATCATTAGGACTCTCCCTCAATTCTTGCCAAAAGTTTGGAGAATCCTAGCATTTCACTCTTCCTCTCTGTTGTACAGGTAGATACTGTAACTACACACTTGGAAGGTCTTTGTTTGGATGTGAGATTTGCCAACAGCCATGCCGACTTAAAGCTGTTGTGTTCTCATAATGCACTGGGGCTGACTTATCAGTTGCGGTTTCAGGGTTTCTTGTTTGTTTTCCCATTTTTTTCTTTTGGGTAGTCTGGTTGTTGCTATGGAAACTTGCCCATGGTGGATTGATCAGCAAGTGTTGAGTGCGTAGTTTATAGATAGTTGTTTGACAAAACTGAGTCAGAACTGAAGTCAGAACAGTGCATGTGTTGATTGCTTCATCTTACATTTGGTAGAAAGAAAGAAGCTTTTTATTCAACATACGATCAGCGGGTGATGGAAGTCCTCCCCTCAAAAAAGTTTTGGCATAGGTTGTGTCATCTGATAGAATTTGAGCCTGCTAGTTTTTCTCCTCTCAGGGATGTGTCCTTGAGTCATGATGTTGTTAATTTGAATTATGCCCTTTGTATGCTTTGTAGCTTGATGAATCACCCACAGTGACAAAACTTGTTGCAACATGAACATTGTAAGTGTGTGCAGTTTCCACAGGACATATTTGTTCAAGCACACTCAAGGTTCCCCTAGGGTGTTGATGAAGGATGAAGTAGCAAAAAAAAAGTACATGAATTACTTTTGGGGTTGGCATCATCGCCAGTAGGACCTGAAAAAATTCTCTAAGGAGATACCTGTCCTGTACACGTAGCCTGTAGGTCTGCTCTTACAGTATACATGTATTTACTCTCCATCCATTTCCTTGTAATGAACCAATCTTGCTTTGCCTGGCCTTCCTTAGTAGTGGTTTTTTTTGGGGGGGAAAGGCTAAGGTGGCAATCAGTGAGGTAGTCTGTGTAACATTTGAAAAGACAAGAGAAACCCCGAGCACCACAGCAAACTGAGTCAAATGACTCTGTGTGGGCACTTTATAACATTTTGGTAGGGATTGCTTTGTAGTGGATTTGAGCAGCCAGGAAGGGAAAGAAACGACAGAATTGATGCTTGAATTTGTCCTGTCCAGACTTGCCATCAGAGTATTGGCCAGGGAGTCATCTGTCCAGGCTTCTCAATAAATGGAACTTATTGATGTCTCTGTTGAGGAAATGAGATCAGGAAGGGAAAGATATTGACCTGGATAATGACAGGCTCCTGACCTGTTAGCCACCAGTGGACACGCCCAGTCCTCCCTCGACTCAATCACAGTCTTCTTTTGAGGGATTTTGGTAGTATTACTGCTTCGTGCTGTACTATTCAAATCCACCTTAAAAGTCATTGCCCAGAGTTACAGAGAACCATATAGTGGATACGTCAAGCGCACAATTTTGTGTGTAAAAGGCATTCGTTTGCACTGCACTTCCTGGTTCAAAATGACATCACACTTCAAGTCTTCAATACTCTATACCGGTATTGGTAGTTTTAATGCTTAATGTACATGTACCGAAATGTGACGGTTTTAATGATCCTGTTCATTTTCCCTGTTTTACTCTCTGGGAGTTCAGTGATCTGTCAATATCTTTACCTTCCTTCGTTGGTGTCCTTTTCATAATTTTACCCAAGAACGATAAAAACCTTTGAAACCATCAGTGAAAAACGTGGTACATGTAGAGTGTACATGTAGCTACCAGTACCAGGGTACAGTGCCTGTCCTGTCTACACGTTTATTCCAGCCTTCTGCAAAGCAGACCTTAAGACCCATGGCATTTTGGTCGTAGACACAGTCAGCAAAGCATTAATGCTGTCTCTTAATCTCAAATTCTTTGCACTTAGCAGCCCACATAGTCATGAATAATGTACCATGCCCCAGCTGTGGACAGAAAGCATTTGCTGAAATGATCAACTGCATCCTACATGTACTATGATCCCTACAGTTACACGCACATCATGTGTTGTACATATAGAGCATGCTATGGTAATTCAGACTAATGGATGTGACACACACAACATGAGGAAAACAGATTGGAGATTGTCTCAGTGATCATTATTAAGTGGCAGCGTGTTCCACAAATATGCACAAACTTACACAGTGATAAAAAATATGGTACATGTACATGTAATCATCTCATAACAACTTTGTACATGTATTTATCAGGAAAAGTGGAATGATCCCTGACCACAGAGGTTACTTCACACAAAGGAGAGAAAGAAACAGAAACTGGTATCACTGGTTCACATGCAATGCGCATACTGTGCCGGTACACTGTACCTGAAAGTACTGTACATGTACGTGTGCATTGTCTGTATTCATATTGTGCAGTTACAAATGTTTGTTGTGGAGTTTCTGTTCATTCCAAATCACAAAGTCATTCATTATGTTGCCGCTTGATCCATGGCATTTGAAACGAGGCATTTGAAATATTGAGCTAAAAGAGACATATGGGTAATTCTAGAAATTGGGGGTCCATTTTTTGTGTTCCTGTTACATCTTACATATGATTTTTTAAGTCTACAACACATTTTCTAATTTCTAAGAGTGATGAATTAATGCAAATTACCCACCAAGCAAACAGTAATAGTTTGAAAACAATTCCGGTGATATTCCAATGTCAAATAACAAAGGTCAGATATAACGGGGACACGGAAATGTCACACTTTTGGACCCCTAATTTCTGATATTACCTATGCAAGGTGTGATAAATAGGTTAGAAACTTGTGTAGAATCCAGCGTGTCTACACTCAAACAATATTTCCTTCATTATTTCTTGCATGCAGTTTGGATTGAGTTTCTTTTTTTGTTGACCACACAGGTATTAAAAGGAAATACATATAGTAAGTGGAGGTTTGAAATTCATATCCTTCATGTGTATAAAGCTAATACATGTAACTCAAAATGGTCACTTTGGATAACACTGCTAATGTGTGTACATGAGGTTGTTAACCAATCAGAGGGCATATACTGGCACTCGTTACTGGGTTATAGGGACAACACATGTGTTGAAATATCAATGTTACTGGGGCCAGAAAGTTACAGGGGCCATTTTTGTCCCATCAGTTCAGTCCTGACTTTCCTAACAAAAGAAATATGCCTCCATAGTTAAAGCATTGAAGGCCTATCCACTGTTGGATGGAAGCAACCAGTATCAGTAGGAAAGAACTTAACATAAAACCTGTCCAGCTCGTAAACAAGGATTGAGTACAAACACATAGGTGCTTTCCCCTCCAGTAACAATTTGTACACTTGGTATTGGTCACTGTTTGTCGTGTTGGGCTTATCGATTTGTCCAAAAACAAATCCTAAATTCAAAACCTTTAAAAACAGAATGGCTGAGCAGCATTTTCAGTGAGGCAATTTATTTTAGCTACAAAAGCTTCAATAAAGAAAGCCACGAAAAGTTGCTCATGGCAAATGCCATATGTTATCAGTACAAGATGGTGTGAATTGACAAGGCAGAAATCACAGTCTAGAAAGTCATGCTCTCTTTGTTTTGTTTCTTGTTTGTTTTTTTGTTTTGCTTTATTTTGGGATTTTTGTTCTTGTTTACCCAGAACTTGGAGCTATCCCAAGATGCTCGATCAGCGCGGTCGTACCGAGATGAGCTTGACGTGTGGAAGGAGAAGGCATCCAAGGTGGAGAAGTACGAGAAGGAGATTGCCAGATACCGGGAAAAGCTCAACGAGCTAGAATATCTCAAGAGAAGAGTTGAGGTATACCAACTGCCCTACATACATGAAAATTGGCAGACACTTTAACTGAAAGGCAGATTACACATTCCTGTAAAAACACACTGCATTTCAAAAGCAGAAGATAGCATTTCCAAGAGACATTGACATTGTGATCATATTTCCTGCTAACTTGGCAAGACCCTGTTTATATCCTTGATACTTGGCCGTCCAAATTTTAGTTATAAAAATACTGGGCCAGAATGGAATAAGCTGAATTTTAATCGTTGAATAATCAAAACAAATGAGCAAAATACAGTTCATTTGTAATCACTCACATGTCCCATGCATTAAGCTCCCCTCAGTCATTTAACTAGTTATTATTCCCATTGTTGAAGGACAAGGCACATTTCCTAAATGGACATTACTTTTTAAAGTGGTCCCTGAACTTTTTCCTGGCAAAACTACTGTACATGTATGCCAACCCTCAGAGATAAGGAAGTGTCCTGTCTAAAATCCAACAAACAGAGCTGAGTGGTAACTGCTGTGCTGAAGGAAGCAGCTTCAACATTGTTTTTCCGGTGTCCCAAGTGTCAGATTGTCATCCTGAAATAAGAGAGTTAACAGACTAGCACATGTTTATTGTCCTGAGTTAGGTTTCACCAACTGTGTGTTTCAGCGATGAACAATGTTTAATGTCCTTTTTGATTAATGTACATGGGTTTAATCTTCACTGGTAGTTGAGTTCACATCCTGTTTTTTCTAATGATTAAAATTTAAAACTCTTTAATTCATGGTCAGTTTTTTAGATAATGGTATTCCCTCTCAACAGATATTTTATTCAATATTCTAAGGCCTCCCCTTTTAAAATACAATTTTCTTAAAGTCCTGGCTCACTTACCAGTAATTACTGCCAGTCAGAATTTTTAACCACATGATGCTGACAAAAAGAAATTATAACTTAGTGATGCTGGAGGAAACTATTACACATTATATACATGTACATGTATAAAAGAATATTGAGAATGTACATGAGATGAAATGAGATATTGACTGACCACTGTTGACCACTGTCATTTTGCCAACCATGGTGGACAAATTTTCTTTCAAGCAAAACAAAAAATGGTGACAGAACATTTGCATACTGAGAAGTGCCCATGTATGATTAACACTAGTCACACGTGAAAGTAGGACATATTTGATTTTGTTCTCAGGACAGAAACTGTTTGCAACAGAATGGAAAAGTAAGGACATTGCATCTACCTTATTGCTGACTATTTTTTCGAACCCTATCTAGGAGCTCAGAGAGGACAACCAGCTTCTCCACGAGACCCGAGGCCTCCTGGAGGACCAGTTAGAGGCTGCCCAGCACAAGGTAGAGAAGGGGCGGGAAGCGGAGGGGGAGTGCCTGCGACTACGTGCCCAGCTTGAGGCCATGGAAGACGAGAGGGACTTGGACCGCACCAAGATCCAGGAGCTGGTGGCCGAGGTGTCCAAGCTGCAGCTGGACCACAAGCAGAGCCTGGACGAGTCAGCTTCACTCGGCGTTGAGCTAGAAAAAGCCAAGCACAGTTTGTCACCACGTTAGTACCCAAAAAATTCTGTCTTGGCCAACAGCTTATTGCCAGTAGGTCTTAACAGTAAAATCCAGGTTAAAAGATTATTATTGGTCAGGAATCATGAACAGTTGACTTAATCCTTTGATAGTCTATGTTTTGTTGTACTGGCTCAATTGTTTCCAGATTGTTGGAGATTTTCTAGTGTGATTAAGCACAATTTTATTTTAAGTCTCAGAATTAAAAAATGTACAGTGGCAATGCTCCTAGTGGGAAAGACAGCCACTAAAAACTATTAAATGAAATAAACTATATACTCAAACGAAGAAAAGATTATTGACCAAGTACATGGACATTCAATGAAATATACCAATAAATTATTCCAAAATTAGTATTTATAAAAAGTAAAACCCTCCTGTTGGGTTGAGTTGTGGAAAGAGGATTATCTAGACACCAGGCATTTCATTCATTCCATGCAAAAGTGATTACATTGTCTCCTGATGTAGTCAGACCATGGACCCCGAAAAGCAGAATGTGAAAAGTGGTGCATTTTTCTTGGCTGTGTGTGACTGTGATTGAAAGGCACCGAGCACATCACATACTAACAAGCTAATATGTCAAATGAAATGCTGAGAATAATGAGAAACTACAATTTCTTCACCTGTTGTGTCTTGTTAATTTGCAGTGGGGAACTCATTGTCTGCTGAATGTAATGAGTCAGCCTCTTCACGCATCTTGAGACTTGAGCGGGAGAATCAGCGTCTTCTCCAAGAGATCGAGAGTCTCAAAGATGTGGCTTCTCTGCAGAGCAACAGCCAGCTGCTTGAGATGGAAAAGGAGAACAAGAGACTGAGTCGCAAGGTGGAGATGCTGCAGCAGACGAGCAAGACGGACATCCAGAATTCCCTGGAGCTGGAGCAGGAGATTAACAGGCTGAAGCGAGAGAAACAGCAGCTGGACGAGACCATCAACACCGTGAGGGAGAACACTGAGCGTCAGACCAAGGAGTGGTCCATGGAGAAGGGCCAGCTGGAGGAGACAGTGGAGAAACTGCGAGAGCGCAACAAGAAGGACATTGACCAGCGAGTCCAGGACGTGGAGAAGGAGAACAAGAAGCTGGTGGAGGAGATGCGGGAGTCCCAGATGAAGATCTCCAAGCTGGAGTATGGAAGCAAGCAGCTGGATCGTTGCCAGGAGAAGCTGAAGGAGCACATGGCCAAAGTGGAAGCCCTGGAGCAGCAGAACACAGAGCTTGACTCGGAGCGGGACAAGCTGAGCAGAAATGTGCAGACGCTGAAGCTGATGTGTGAGAAATTTGACGAGGTGGAAAAGGCCAACTCGGTCCTGGTGATTGAGAAGCAGCGACTAGAGAAGTCGGTCGAGACGCTGCGGGCAAACTGCCAAAAACTGGAGCAGGTGGAGAGCGAAAATTTACAGCTGAGGGCGGAGACGCAGAAACTGCACCGATCCTTAGAGACACTGCAGAATGCTGTGTCGCGTGCCTCCGAGCTGGAAGCAGATAAGGAGGAGTTAGACCGGAAGAACAGGCTCCTTCAAAAATCCCTAGATGCCCTCAAACCCACGCAGGACAAGGCCACCCACTTGGAGGTGGACAACATGAAACTGGAGTCAGAGAAGAAAAAGTTGGAAAGCACTGTCCAGCTCACCAAGGGCAAACTGGAAAAACTGGAGAGGGAAAATCAGGACTTGGAGAGTGAGATCGAGCAGCTCAAGAAGAATCTGGATGCTGCCGGCCTCATTGCCAAACGGGTAGAAGAGCTTGAAGCTGAACAGAAGACCTCAGAAACTGAGAAGATGGGCTTGGAGAAGGAGCGCAGTCAGCTGAGCAAGGAGAACAAGAGGCTGAAGCAGTCACTTGAGGCCAGAGAGCGGCTTGTCGACGAGGCCAATGCACGCGTCCACACCCTGGATCAAGAGAACAGACAGCTACAGAAGGCCATCAACAAGAACAAGGAGGCCAGTGAGAAGCTGAAGGAGTTGGAGAAAGACAACAAGGAGTACCTGAAACAGGCCACAATTGACAAGAAGACTCTTGCAACCTTAAGAGAGGTAAGTCACATTCAAGTGGCCATTAAATATTTCATCTAAAATGATTGGTCTGTTGAAATTTCATATTTGTTTCCATTGGATCACAAAATTTGGGCCAGTCAAAGCTTTAGCTTTATGAACCTAAAAGAAAATCAAGTATTAATATATCCACACCATCTCATCCGTGAATGCAGCATCTGCCAGTTACATAATGAAGCAACCAGATTGCCGGATCTTGTCGATGACACCATCAACTTGCTGTCCACTAAGCTGCCATTCTAGATTTTTGATGGTTTTCACACAAACGGATGAATGAACTATGTGTTAAATTGTTAAAGGTTTATTTTTACTATTGTATTTGGTTCGGATTCTTTTGAATGCAAAAAGCAACGTGAAACATACTTGGCAAGAAAGCCATTTATCAGTGAAAAGTAGTGCGTTTTTAATCATAATCTTCTGTGTATATGTGGCACAATCCCTTTTTGCTGTCATTTCACCATTACCAAATTGTCAGACACTGTCACGCAAACCCTATAAAAAGGGCTTGAAATCTCATCCCTCTTTCTTTTGTAGGAGTTGGTCAATGAAAAGATTAAGGGGCAGCAACTGAGCAACGATCTGGAGAAACTGAGCACAGAGCTGGACAAGATTGGACTGGACAAGAACAAACTCCTCCACGAAGAAGTCAGTCTAGATGAGACGTAAGTAAAAAAAATAAAATCCTCTTATTTCCTTGCGCACTCGCTGACAAGTCAGTAAAAATGCCCTAATATCAAATGAGATTGAAACTGGGACAAGTTACTTTGACTTTTCCTTCTTTTCCCAGACGTTACAAGACTCTCCAGAATAAGATGGAGGATGCCTTCCAGAAGAACTTACAGATCAAAGAGGAGAGGATTGTTGCCTTGGAGACCAAGTAAGAACTTGATCAGTGAGCACTCATTCAATCCGTCAAAAGGCGCTTCTCCATATTTACTTTTTTGGGTGTGTTGCATACACAATGCGTTCATGCAGTTTTTTTCACGGACACAAAAATCAGCTCCATTAACATAACACACACATGCATTACATTCAGTCGTCAAAATCGCCCCGGGAGTGACTTTGAAGGATACGCAACGCTTGGCGCAAGTGGAAAGGCGCCGTAAGGGAGCTTGTCCAAAAGGTTGCAGTGATCACCACAATTTGGCTACATTGCCACATTGAGATGTGTAAGGGTATAGTTGTGATTCAAAGGGCATTTACTCTCGAACATAATTGCCAATTACATGCACACTGTCATTGAAGAAAAATATTTTAGGAAAATGGGACACTTCAGAAAATTTAGAACTGTGCAAAGTATTTGATGTGATTTGACAGCGAAAGATTTTTACTGTTTTAAATTTGAATACATGTCAAGGTGAAACTTAAACAAGGTCAGTTAAGAACTGACAGCGAACCGTCGATATAACTTAAGGTTAAAAGATTAAAAAAATTCAAAGGCAAGAGGAGAAACATTATAGAGTAGGGGCAGCGTCATCTTAACCATAACCCCAATATGCTGGTTGTATTTTATTTATGGTTTTCTGGCAACAGTGTATTCACAAATAAACTTATGTCACTGTTGTAGATTGCAAGAATCAGCGAGTCAGAACCAGAAACTTGCTGAGGAGTTGAAGGGGAGAGGCATCCAAGAGGCACTGGTTCAGCGGCAGGAAGAGCAAAAGACCATGTCAAGCCCAGGGGATGCCAAAGTCAAGTAAGAGAGATTCATGCCTGCTTGATGAGAGGCTTTCTTGGGATGGGCCCTGTTAGTGGCAAATTCTGGCATTTACAAAAGATCTGCTCAAGTCGTGCAGGCTGTGATCTACCATTGTTTGGAAACATTGCTGACTTGAATCGTGACCCTTTATATGTAATCATGAATACCAAATGGCTGACTTGAGTTTCAA